TTCATCTTTGGGCTTCCCGCCGACGGACACGGCAACACCGGAATTTTGGTGTTCGTGTGTCGGCTGAGCAAGATGGTACATCTTGCTCCAGCTCCCGTCACTGTTACGGGCGAACAAACCGCAAGGTTGTTCGTCGATGGCGTGTTCCGCTATCACGGTCTCCCGGAGACGATTGTCTCGGACCGAGACCCGCGGTTCACTGCCGCGTTTTGGAAAACGCTGTTCCCTTTACTGGGAACTCGTCTGCAGATGTCCACTGCGGACCACCCGCAGACCGACGGCCAAACAGAGCGCGTCAATCGAGTGCTCGAGGACACTCTGCGCAGTGTGTGCGCGGCAGCACCACGTACGTGGTCGACGCAGCTTCCAGTTGTTGAGTTTGCGCTCAACAACGCGGTGCACGCGTCCACGGGGTTCACGCCGTTCTACTTGAACGGCTTCCGCCACCCCAGAGTGCCTCTCACTCTTCGAGGAGACACTGACTCCTCTTTTTTAAGTGGGGAAGAGGCTCGGAAAGCCCTTTCCTCCCAGGTCTCGGATGTGAGACCAGTTTCGCTGCGGAAACAGGTGGATTTTTTTTATGGATACCAAGCTGAACATTGTCAGCAGGGTCCGCGATGCCATGGCAGCGGCCCAAGATAAACAAAAGGAGTACTCAGACAAACAAGGAAGAGGAAACTTAAGTATATTTGAGATTGGGGACTTAGTGCTGCTAGACACGAGGCTACCTCTAGACACTGTTAGCTCTGTCGGCAGCAACAAACTGAAGCACCGCTTCATCGGACCTTTTGCGGTCCTGGCCAGACATGGTGCGTCGTACACCATCGACCTTCCAAAGTCAATGACGACGCACCCGACGTTCTATGTCGGACGTCTTAAGCGGTACTTTGACCCACAGGGGGTTGCTGACTCGCAGACCCCCCTTGACCCAGCTCCTCGAAGCGAGGGCCGGTCACAGTCGTCGACGAGGTCGTCGGAGCAGGCACCCAAGCCTCGGTCGGGACGGCAAGGCTGCGGTCAAGACCGTACGCCGGAGGGGCTCCATACGAACGGACCCCGGCGCCATACGCCGAGTACGCTGAGTACGCCGGGTACGCACCATACGCGTACGTCTGGGAGTGTGCCGCAGGCGGCTCCGGACGTGGCAACAAAGCCTCGATCCGTCGGATCATGCGAAAGGCCTCGTCCAGATCGGACGAAGAGGCCCGGCGATCCACCCGCAGGTGCAGGCTCGCGACCTCTCGCTCCACCAGGTTCAGGCGACCCGCAAGACGAGCGAGCTCGCCCTGATTCCTGGCCTGGGCAGCAGCATTACCGCCAGTCCCAAGGCCAAGTGCAATCTCAAGCACGAGGACACGTTGACGGAGGCGGTCAACCTCAGGGTCCTGTGTCGGACCCGCAGTCGGAGCACTCGGACGAGAGTGGCTCTCGGGAGGCGCCGAGTACTCGTACTCGTACGAGGGCACCTCCGCCCCTGCTTGACCGGAATGGAGAGGTCCACTTCCACGTGGAGCGGATCCTCCAGGAGCAACGGCGTCGCGGTAAGCGACAGCTCCTCGTGAAGTGGAGGGGTTATGCCCACTCCGAGAACTCGTGGGAGCCGATTGAACGGCTCCTGATTGACTGTCCAAAGGCTGTCGCAATCTGGGAACAGAAGCGGCGGCAGCTTCATAAGTAGTCCGGAGCTTCTTGCCCGAACGGGGTACGGACGATGAATACATACCGTACCCGCGCTCATTCGTGAGCGCTAGAAGCCGCGCGCTTCAGGATGTCCCTCGGCAGCATACGCTTGCTGATCAAGTGGGCAAACCTCACACGAAGATCACGCTGGTCCAGGATGCGGGACAGCAGCGGATCTTCATGGAGTTCCCGTAACTCCGTGGGTGAGTACTAAAGAGGCCCAGGACATGTCCTCACAAGAACTCCACGTGGGACAGTTCTCGGGCATAACCCAGGGGTATCCATAAAGAGGATAGAGACCACCCCGGGTCTTTGGCTTCTTACGACAAGTCGTGAAGCCCTCAAGGGAAATGCGGTGTGGCGCGAGAAGCACACACCGAGCAGCCTCCAAGTTGTCGACGAACAACTGTTCTTTCTGAACAAGGGCTCGTTCATAGATGCTTCTAGAAGTGTGGCCGCCCACAAGACCACGAGAAGCGACAAGAAGCTCTAAGAAGAGGTCAGCCCCAGAGCTCTCCTCGGGAGGCCAATACCCTCTTGAGTTGATGGCAGCTCCATAGGCTGACGGGTGCCGCCACCGAGCCCCCACGAACATGCTGGGTAGCTTGGAACTCCTCCTGCTGCTGGTCGAGGTCATTAGAGACCTCCCGGGGCTCAACGATAGCACCCTCCTCCTCCTCTTCTTCCTCCTTCTCCTCCTCTTCATCCGAGGAGTCGAAGATACTCTGATAGGATCGTCGAGTCTCCTTCTTTTTGCGGAGTGGAGACTTAGAGGCTGTACGCTTCTTTGAGGGCTTGGCGCCTTCGGCTTTAGAGGCCTTAGCGCGCGCAAGACCCTCGGCAAGCGAGAGACGTTTGCGAGGATTCTTTTCCTCATCGCCACCGGCTTTGGGAGCGTCCTTAGCGTTGACGGCCGGACTCTCAGAGCGCACAGGGGTCGGGGGACTGTGATCACCGTGATCACTGGCGGGCGACTGCACGCTGTCATCTTTGTGCTCACTGGGCACTGGGCTGTGCCCTCCCACAGAGCCCGCAGGAGCATCATGAGTGCTCCCGGACTCGGCATCGTCCTCACTGCCCGAGTTAAACTCCCATTCTACGAACCGAGGGTTCGGACGATTGTCCGAAGATGAGGGCGACGGGCTGCGGCGCTTGTTTGCACGCTTGTCCACAGCCGCGTCACCCGAGGAACCAGAGGCCACCTGAGTAGCCTCCTTGAGTGCAGAGCCTTTGCCGGAGGCTTAGTACTCTTGGCTTGCGCCTTACCGGCAGCAGCCTTGGAGCGTGTCTTAGTACCGCTCTTTGCAGTGCCACGAGGCATGATAACGGTCGAATGGGAGACCTAGACGAAGAGCGCACTGGTTGCTGCTCGAGGCTCTAACTGTGAAGTGAGCCTCCGCCGCGCTCGCGCGGCCAAGTCGATGGTTTTCGACTTTGAGAATGAGAGTTTGTGACGAACACCTCTTCATTCTGATTGGTCGGTAAACCGAACCTAAGTGGGGGAGGATGTAACGGGCTACGTAGCCCTAAGTGTACCCTGGTTACATGAAGTGTGACACTTCACACTTCAGGAGTATGACACGTCATACTCCGGGATATTTGGTACAAGGTACCAAGGTCGTTCAAAGCCAACCATTGGTTAAATGACATTGCATTTCTATAGGTAACTAATAGTTTGTATTAAACCCAAGCTTAATCTACCTATAAATATACTCAGTTTACAATCTACCTTATTTAGGTCACTTCGCTCTCTTTAATGAAGGATGAGGCGACAATTGCCCATTCTAGATGCGAACTAGACCACCAAAATCGTACGCTGACACATGAAAACTTAATCGTGTAGTGTTGAGTTTCGCTGACTTACAAGTAGCCATGGGCCTTTAATAGTGCGCTTCCTAGATTTTTCGGCGGAGCGCCTTAGGATATCCTGCACCGTAGCAAGCATTTATAAAGCGCTTCGCTCTTGTATACCTATAGCTCTGTAGGAAAATCTGGAGCTTTCCTTGATTTTCTTTTGTAAATGGTGTTTGTCTAAGGGTTGATGGTGTTTGTCAGGGTTATTCCGTCATCAGCCACAGCAGCACCGGTAGATACTTAAGTAGTATTATCCCGTTCATCCACTAACCTCTATAGAAGAATGGTCTGACCTCTCCAATGACGCAAAGTGCTCATCGACTACGTAACAAATGCTGCATACCCTCATAGACTGGTAAGATACACAAAATACCACAAGAAAGAATAATAGACTACTCTAGTGCTATCTATACCTACGAAGTGGTCCGTGGACGAGGAGGAGCACTTATGCGGAGAACAGGTCTGGTATACAGCGAAGCCGCAGCATCGAGTCGAAGCGTATTGCATTTTATAGAATAGTCTACCTCCCAAGCTCATTAAATAAATGAATGGAATTCATGCAGTCAAAAAAAGTTTAAGAAAAAATGTCCTGCTTTGGAGTAGTGACTAGTATTAATGTGGTCGTTAGGACAGCTAATTAAACCTGACTTTGAAGAAGAGAAGTGATAAGTATATTTTTTTAATCCTGAAGCTTCCCCAATGGAGAGCTTCTGGTAATCATCACTGTCATCTCGGACGTGCTGCAAAATGTAGCTGTGCTGATATTGTGGCAGCTCAATTAAAGTCCAACCTGACAGCTATGTTTCAAACACAAAATGCATTTGGGTACATCAAAAAGCACTATTTCTAAATTTGGGTACCTCGAAGCTCCCTAAGCTCGAGCTTAATAGTTTTTCCCTACATCGAACTCCTTGATGCAAATTTCCGGCATGATGGCAATCGAGGAATTTCGCGAGACGTTTAATACAGTACCTTAATGCACTGTACGCAACCGTGGCATTGAGAGAGATCACCAATCGACTCCCCGCCCACGTTACTACAGTATATCTAAACGATCTCAAAACTGTCGTCGAAGGCCATACGATGGGCCCCATCGTTCCTGGTGCTGCTGCTGCTATTGCTTGGTCGCGGCTGCGGCCCTGACCACTACAAGTCCATGCACCTGTGGCCTGGCACATACGTACATGTATGAAGGCAGCAGATCCCAACCTGGGATTTCAGATACATGTACGCGAGACTTTCATGTCTGGCGTATCGGAGGCAATACCGCCGCGACGTGACTACAGCCGTCGCCAGTACTGTAGTGTACTGGCCCAGTGTACTCCTCTTCACCAGGATCATCCTGGATGGTCTTCCGTGGTACTGTAGTACTGACTCGACATGGTTCAGCACTATTGGCACATAACGGTACCAGCGACTCGCTTTGCCGACTTGCTGGTCATGATTAATGCTCACTTGCGATTTTGGCGCCTTGCACACTTCCGTCTTTGCCCGCCATGGCGACTTACACCCCCAATACGCACCACAGCACCACCTTCGAGCAGTTCGAGAAAGGATCGCCAAGTCTGTTCCCAAAGCTCGAAGAGGTCGACTCAAAGCGACGACGGTGCTGTAGCCAGAAGGTCTGGGCCATCGTACTCATGGTCGTAGGCTGCCTCACCATCATCATCGGCATCTTGTACGGCACCGCCATGCCGGCGTACATCAACTCGGTCGTAGGCGATCAAGTCGTGCGCTGCTCAGACGACGAAATGTCCAAGGAAAGCTACCTGGACCCGTACGGAGACTACGAGGACTGCTCGCCATTCTTCGTGTCTCTGTACATGCTCAACGCCACCAATGCCGAAGAATATCTCGCTAATAACGTCAAGCTGCAAGTCCAGGAGATGGGGCCATACGTGTACCGCCGTCGCGAGATCAAGCTGGACGTGTCCCTGTCGGATGACTCCTCCACCGTAACCTATAAGACGTACACGTATCACACGTACGAGACCGAGAAGAGTTGCGATGACTGTTTCGACTCGGACGACATCGTGAGCTTCGACACCGGATACTTCAGTGTCATCGCCGCCACAGGTGGTGAATTCAACTTGCTGGCGGCGGTAGCTGCGGCCTCCTTTGCTTCCACACTAAACACGACCGATATCATCGCAACCATCACGGAGCATGGCGAGCAGATGATGCGATGGATGAACGGCCTTAACTCGCTGGATCCGCTGGCTATGAAGACAGTGACCAACAACAGTACCGTGCTGACCTTCCTGGCTACCGGTCCAGCAGCCATCGCCGATCTGGACCTCTCAGGTTTTGCGTACAATGGCATCTTCGCAAAGCGCACGGCGTCACAGTGGGCGCTGGGCTACCCTAGTCTGCTGGCCGGCCTCATTCTGGGCTCCAACTACATCAACACGTGCAAAACCGGCATGAATGCCCAGTGCGCGTCCTGCAGCGGTGATGACTGTCTGGCCATTGCATTGGCTTGCTCTCAGTGCACCAAGGGCGCAGCTCTCATGGCAGTCAATAACGCCACCTGTGCCATCGTCGAGTCCATTTATGCCGCCACGTACGGTGCCGAGGAAGCTGCTAGTTTTGCCGGAACAACCTGCAGCTTATGCGAGAGCGTTGGTCTGTGCGCGGCACCTCTTCCCGGCATCGCTGAGACCTCTGGCCTGGACTACTCGGAGACTGCACCAGACGCGTCGACACTCGGGGCTTACGTGAAACGGACGGGCTGCGACGATCTGGGCAATATCGGAGCTTGGGTGGAGTACGATAGCTTCAACGTCGCGCCTGTGTGGGCGGATCTCGGCGAGCGCCGCAACCCCACGCTGGCTGAGATCAATGCGTTCTCGAGCTACGCCAACTGCGAGTCGCCTGTCGCCAACGTCACGTGCGTCAACGTATCAGGAACGGACGGTATGGCGCTCAAACCTGGTGGCGTGACAATCAACGGCATGGCCAAGCAAACCACTGCCGACTCGTTCAACTCGTACCTGGGCCCGGCCAAGATCTCTATCACCATCGCGAGCCTGGACACAAAGGTGGACTTTGACGGTGTTTCGTTGCATCGATTTGGTACCCCGATGGATGTCTTCGCTTATACGGACGATAACGCAGAAGTCGGCACAGGCGTCCCCGTCAACGGTCTTCATCAGCTCAGCTTCGTCACGGGCTTTCTGTCGTACATGTCCGGCCCGTTCTTCATCTACGGCGATACGTCACTACTCGAGGCTGTGGAGATGACTAACTCCGACGGTACTGTGATGACGGCTGGCACCATGTATAACTCCGACGGCACCCTCTTCGAGAGCTTCCTCAACGCGTACGGCACGTTCGTTGATATCGAATCGGGTACGGGCCAGACCATGAGAGCTCGCAAACGATCGCAGGTCTCGTATTCGCTGACTGCGTCCTCTTCCGTGGCTAACGCGTCCATGAGCGACATGCTGTGGCCCACGCTGCCAACAGAAGTGGTGCTGCCTACATATTGGGTCCAGGAGGCCGCTGAGGCTAAGGACAACGTGCTGGACACGTTTAAAAGCACGCTTACACTTGTCAAGACGTTCTTGCCTGGCCTTATCGTTCTCATTATTGCTGGCAGCATCGAAGTGGGTGGGGGCGTATTCCTCTGGCGTCGCCACAAGCAGAGGCTCGAGATGGTGCGCTATGGAAGCGTCATTTAGACCATGGCATCCTGTATGAAGTAACTACGTAGTACACAGCAAGGCACAAGCTCATGTATGTCGTCCTAAAATGTTTGAAGTGAAACTGAGCAGCTCTTATCTCGTAAAGCAACTCCTTCACCTTGTCTTCGTTGCTAACGTAAAGCGATATGTGAGTGGCTTGATACGAGCCAAATGTGGTGACAATAATTAGCAGATTTATTGTGGCGCAGAAGGCGATGCATGTCGTAAGCTGCAGATGTCTGTGTATTAGGCACTGTATCATAGACCCTCGTGTCTCCCTGCAACCTTGCCCACGATCGCGTATTTACCTTTGAAGCGCTTAATCCAGTCGTCCAGCGTCTTGCGCTGCTCTATTGTGAGTTCATCGCACGACGGATTGTTTAGAGCGTCTTCCTCGAGCGACATGCACGCCAAGGCCTTGGACGCGTCTCGACCAGCAAACTGGCCGTACATGCCGCCGGGGCCGTAGAACTCGGCTCCGTTCATCGTCACATCATACAACACGCCGTGGACGGCTAGTAGAATAGTCTGACGCGGGTTGTCTACCCCGTTAAAGACTAGGAGCTCCTCGAGAGTGATCCGCAGGTCAGAGTCAACCAGTCGCCCCACATTTGGGTACTTCTTGTCGCCATTGCAGAACTTGACCAGCCACTCGTCCAGCGTCTCGAACTGCGCCGGCGTCAAGTCCATCAGGTCCAGACTGGCCAGCTCCTTCTCGTTGCTCCATTTGCCCAAGGCAATTGCCCGGGTGATGTCTTTGCCCGCCAGCGTCGCGAACTTACCCGAAGGTCCGTACAGGTCCCGACTGGAGCTCACATCGTAGACTTCGCTCTTGATGGAAATGTAAATGGGGCGCTTGCCTTCCGCTTCTCCGTTGAAAGTGGCAAGTTGAGTCACAGTGAAATGCTGACGGCCCGACGGATCCTTCGACTCGCTGCCTCGCCTTCCGCCAGAGCTCAGCAATGCGTTGGGGCCGGATGGCGGCGTGCCTACTGCGTTGCCCATGAGTGTAGCTTCTAGCGTCGCTTCCTACCCGGGACTGGATACACGAAGCACTAAACATAGCGAGCAACCAAGAAAGCAGACGCTGCTGCCGGGACAAGGAACAGATAAACTCTCTTTTGCGATACTTCTCCTCAACTCCTCTGTCTCTACGTGACGATCTTACCAACGACCGGGTATTTCTCCTTGAACTTGTCCTCCCACTTATTAAGCGTCTCCTGCTGCTGCTCCGTTAGCCCCTCGAGTGTCGGGTTGTCCAAATGCTCGTCCAAGAAGGACATGCAGGCGAGCGAACGGGAGCAATCACGACCCGCGAACTGCTTGTAGCCGCCTTCCGGGCCGTAGTGGTTCAGACCATCCAGCGTCACGTCGTAGATGTTACCGTTTACAGCCACGTACACGATGTTGCGCGGATTGTCAGCGCCGTTGAATTGGCGCAGCTGCTCGAGCGTCAGGTCACGACGCCGCAGCACGCGTCCCACATTCGGGTAGCTGTTGTAGACGCTAAACTTGGTAACCCAATCGTTAAGCGTCTCCTTATCCATGAAGCTCAAGTCGGATAAGTCGTCACTGTCGAGATCCTCCTTCTCGAACGACATTTTGGCCAGCGCACGGGACGCGTCACGGCCGGCGAACAGGTGATAGCCCTCGCCCGGGCCGTAAAAGTCACGCTTGCGACTCACGTCGTAGACTTCATCCAGTACGGCGATGTAGATGGGTTGATCATCCTCGCCGTTGAAGGGCAACAGCTCTTCAGGCGTGAAGAAACGACGTGTGATCGGCTTTTCGCGCTCTGCTTTGAGCGCCTCTTGTCGCGCTTTGGCCGCCTCGTACGCGCGCTGCTGGGCCGCGTCTGCGCGTGCATTCATATACTTGACCGCCATCACGGCGGCCACAGCCACACCTGCTCCAACGAACAGGTTGCTGTCTGCGTTGGACAGGAACTGGAGCATCGTCTTGACTGTAGTGACTATGCTCGACTGGCTTGAACGGCGAATGAGAATTGCCACTCACGCTGGTGATCAGGGATTCGTATTAGCTGGCAATTTATTAGCGGATTATAAAAGTTTATTAGTAAAAATCATTTTACTTTGCTAAATATTCTGAAGTTTACTTTACGGTAATATATGATAATATATATTATCTTCAATGTTCCATGGGCCATGCATCAGCTAGATTTGGCTCTCCAGAATGCCTACAAGGCCACGACGAATGACCGGTTTTTCGGCTACATGACGCAAGTAATTGCGTATCTACGACGCCAAGGAACTCTGATACGTCAGATGGATACCACCGCTCCTCTTCTTCCGGGCACGCGCTGGGAGTCTATGCAGCGGTGCTGTACTTGGTTTAAGAAACACCGCGTGCGGTTGACGGCACATTTGAATGCAAAAACACCAGTTTGCAAGCCGCCACTTCAGTGGTGGCTGATATTGAGTTTGATTGAGATGCTATCAACCCGGGCAGTGATCACATTTAGAAGCCTAGAAGGAAGCACAACCCTTGTGACGGAGCAAATGGCTCAGATGAAGAGGTTGTCTAGTGACGTCCAGATCATGTTTGGTGTTGGAGCTGTGACGGATGAAGACCACTGTGACCTAGACACCCGACCTACTACATTATCACTGGCTGGGAACAATACAATTGTTTGTGACCAAGCGAAAAGATTGGATTTGTTATAAGACAACGGTTCTTTCGCAATTAAAATCCTGGATACTATTGGAACGGATGCTGCAACTCTTTTAGCTTCGGATTTCGCACGTGTAATTGCAACTTTGGTTGAACGAGTTTATTCAATCGAGCCCGAACGCAACGAGAGAAATGAACCTGTAGAAGGAGAGCTTCCACCAGCTATTCCTCGAGAGTTTGTAAAGTTAAATGGCCGAGATTTCTCCGCTTTGATAGTAAGACATCGCAATCAAATGGCTTCGCACTGGACCGACGAAGAAATGGATGTCATTGAGCAAGAGCATTTAGCCTTATGCGACCAGTACCGCAGTCATGAGCAGTTCCGCCGCTGTATTGACAATGAAGTTGCATTTTACGAGAAAGTATGCACCTTTGAAGCCGCCTGAGATAATGTCGACGGGAAATTCGCAACGATAAAAAGGTTTGCAGGTGGATTGGCCACAACGTTTCCTGGTACATCGACCGTAGAAAGTGATTTCTCGATTTTAAAATGGGAGAAGCCACCGTCGAAAAGCAGACTTACAAACTTTTCCCTTGAAGGATTGTTGCACGCGAAGAAATTCGATCTTTTCAACAGCGTCAATGTCTTCTCTGATGGCAAGCCAGGCGTTCAACACACTAACTAGCACTACCATGATCCTTCTGTGGTGTAGTAGAACACACAAATATCGTCAGATGTGGATTCCTTACACAAACCACAGCGAATCGCCGAGTTAGGTCGGCGGTTTGTATGGCCTGCGCAGAGGGTGGTCCCCTTGCGGTCCGGCCCTTCCGGGACAGACGAGTGGCTCGCTTCCACCCGGTTCCGACTGACCAAGTCAGATCACTTCCGAGGCTCCGCCAAGTTTGGTTCGGCTGAGCTCGTTCACAACCCTGTGCCCTCCACCAAAGGATGGACGACGGCGCGCGAGCGCTTTTACAGGTCACCGAGCGCAGAGGCAGCTCAGCTAGAAGTGTTACGGCACCCGGGCTATCCGACGTACCGGCCCGCTGAGTATGCGGGACTTTCTTTCGCGCGTAGCGAGACTTTGTCCTACCCGGATCGACCTAATCTCTTGGCGCTACCAGTCAATACCCTACAAGCTATGCCTCTCGAGTATTGACGGCAGGCATAATCCAGCCCTATGCAGGGACTTACCGGAAAAGTGTACACGTGTCTTGGACTAGGAAAATTCTGCTCTGTTATCTTCTGGGAGCCCTTTCGCCCCCCCTATTTAATCCTATGCTTCTCATACAAATATCTAATGAAATGTAGTCGTTTCGGATCTCTACCGACCCTTCAGCTGAGTTCCGGCGACCGTTGAGCTCAGCGGCTGTCCGGATAGCATATCCGGACAGATCGCCGAGTACTTACCGTGATCCTTGGCTCCTAAGCTCTGGGTTATCAGACCGAGCCGATTCTTGACCTAAAGTAGGTCGGCGTATGGTCGAATCTGGAAATCCCTACACCACAACTGCCCCGGTTATGATACGAGCCGAGCTGGTGAGTGTCTTAATCCTTCATTTTGTTCTGCCACCGCTGGTCCGTACTCGGCTGATGACGTCTCGCGGCTCCCCACCACCTTCTTTGGTACGTTCGTTGCTTCCGCTGTCACTCACTTGGCAGCTCCTTACTCTTCGCATGTTGTTCCAGCACAAACCGTGGCACCATCCTTCTTCTCCAACTCCTCGTCGAGGTGAAGGCGTGCCAGCTGAGTCGATTCCTCGACCCGTCGGTACTCGTGGGGTCAGCGACCGGCATGAAGCTGGGCTGGTTGACCTGACAACTTCCCATGAGTCTGACGCGGAGTCGGCAGAGTCTTCTCGCGTGCGCCTTCCTGGTCCACCGAGCTTGCCGGGCGACACCACTTCGGGCGCCACCAATCAGCCAAGCTCGGCTGCTCCAGTGAGTCTTGACTCCCTTATGGCCAGAATTAACGAGCAAGGGCATGATCGCCGAGAAGAATTGACCTTCTTGGCGAGGCTCATGGCTTACGGATTTACTCGTTCCGTGGAGCCCTCCGATCCCGTGCAGCGGCGAGCGATTTTGCCTGCTGCTTCCGCGGGGGAACTGTTGGATATCTTGAAATGCAACTACGCCGCTCTTGATTATCCAAAGATCATCGGCGATCTCCAAGCTGACAATCAAGCTGCTCAGAAGGAGAACCGCGCACTGACTCGGCGACTGGACTCGCTTGCTCTCAGCAATGTCGACTTGTCAACTCAGCTCTCGTCGGCTCAACAGCAAGTGTCTCGATTGGAGGCTGCTGCCACGCAATCGGCTAATCTCCTCGCGTCGCTGCGAAAAGCTGTAGCTCTGAGTGAGGCAAAACTTGCTCGGGCCATCGCAGCTGAGCAGAGCAAGGTTGACGCTGCGTTGGGTCAGGCCCAGCTCCACCATCAGCAAGTCTTGGATCGGGACGCCGAGATCGACGTCCTTCTCCGATCCATTTCTGAGAGGGATGCGGCGTTCATCACTCTTCAGGGCATTGCTTCCAAGCACTTCGAACAGCTACAGGAGTCGGTGCGGTTGTACAGTTCCACCGGTACTCAACCCTTGCGGCACGCTCAGTCGGTGATCGCTGAGCAGCGGGCTGTGATCTTGCGACAGAAGCGGCTCATCCGTCGGAATGGTATTATTCCGATGCACGATCCTCACATGGCTGCTGCTGCTGGCGGTGGCTTGCAAGTTGCTGGGCTTGATCCGTCCGACCTTCTCCTCAACGCCCGGCTGTGTCGTGTCTTGGAGTCTCGCTTTCCTAAGGTTCTCAACATCCCCGCTGGTGAAAACGGACTCGGGCCTCGCAAGCGGTGTCCAAGGATTGTCGCCTGACTCTTCACATGGCTCAACTCCGCGAGGTACCATTCATGCAATTCGGCTCAACTCGTTGTTGGAATGCATTATTGGATACACTGAGCGGAGGGGTGCAGATGGAGCTCGTAGGGGGCAAGAGTCGTGTTCCACCTACGCCGTGCTCTCTTGACGGCATTCGAGCTTTCATGGCCGTTTTCGACCCGAGCCATCCTTGTCAGCGTCTTCGGCGGATGCTCCCTGAGCTTCCTTTCTTCTTTTCTCCGTCGATACTGGAGGAAGCTCGGCGATGTTTGGCTTCTCAAACCCGGCCTCGAACTTTGATGCAAGTTCTTGGAGATATGTGGGTGAAGCTTCGTGGCGACGGTCCCTTGGACTCGGCGGGGAGGCCCATCCAGACAGATGGCCAAATGACTCGTTACTTCGTAGCTCTCTATGAGCGTCGTCATTGGATTGTCGAGTCGAGTGTGTTAATGGGTCTCCATCCTGACGTCAACCCGGCTGCCACGCCCGCCCAGCTTGCTGAGGTATACGAACGGTGGCTGGTGTACAAGCGCGAGCGCAAACGTCGTAGTGACACCTTGCGATCTTTGGTTGTTGCTGTCTACGACCAGCTTTACTCGGCGGTCACTCAGAAGCTCGGCGATGAACCTGCTCCACTGGTGGACGCAGAGGTTTATTTTGATCCGTCCGTTCCCCATTACTCTCCCGTTAACCTTTCGTGGGTTCCTTCCGGGAGAGACTGGGTCCAGTGTGCTCACGATGTGGATCTAGCCGAGCCCTGGCGAGCTTGGTGGCTTACTGACCCGGCGGTCCATCCGTACAATACTTGCTTCCGCGCTCGGAACGTGGACTTCTTGGTTTTCGCTCCGCGCGGTATGGATCCTCAGGTTGTTGACGACGCGATTGAAGAAGATTTCGATCTTGCTGAACAAGCGCCTCCTGCCTATGCCCCGGGTGCTCCAACTCGGCTGAATCGTCAAGGCATCCATATCTTCACTGGGTCTTCGATCGGTGAGCTCGGCTCAGATGGCGAGAGTGCGTCTGATGACGACTCGGCGGACGATGGGTTGGGTTCTCCCAATCTCCGAGGCGTGTCTCCGAGTATGTCTCCGTTCGGCACCCCACTCCCCAGTGGAACGGATCCTCAGCCCACTTCCGCCGCGTCGGGTCCTGAGGCACCTGGCTCGGCGTCAGCTTCGTTGGCTAGCTCGGTGATGATACTTCTTGCCACGGCTGCGAATGTTGCATCTCCTTCCGCAAGTTCCCAAGGGATGAAGTCTGCTACAACGCCACGCCCCCAATCGTCGAGTCCGCTGAGCTCTTCCCAGTTGTCTCCGTCGGGTTCAACTCACTTGGAATCCGGATCGCCGACGTTTTAGTTTCTTCCTTTGACTGGGCGTCCCGTAGGTATCGTTCAGGACTTCATTTCGTAATTATTCAGTATATGTAGTTTCGACACAGTAGCATTCCGTCTCAACTCGGCCTGTGTCGTCCGCTGAGTTG